CACCTAAATCTATACAAATAAGATCATTCAGGAAATGGGCTTATAGCCTGCCTGTCAGGGTCAATGCAGACTGAGGGGAATACAACATCCCAGTAGAAAGACCGAGATACTTTATGAAAATTTCTAACCCACACATGAATCAAACTCAGGTTTCCTGCATGCGACAGCGAACGAAGCGCCAAACCGCTACACCACATACGTCAGTTTTCCAAGCTTGAGATAGAGCTCTTAGAGGGTAAAACTAAAAGCATATATTTTTTAAAATCGTAAGATGCATCAGCCACTGCTGCAATTACAACAGTTCAAAATAAAGACGTCTGATCATTACCTGATTATGCTTGATGAGATCTTGAGCAAACTGGAATGAAGGTGAGGCCATCTCCTGGAGGGCTTTCAGCTCAGCCTTAAAGTGGTGAAATGACGCAAAAGAAATTTAATAAAAACAAGAGTCACTGATAAAACATCATAACATCAAAGTTCTTTACTTTTACAATTCGAGAGATTCTAAAACATAACACAGAAGATGAATAGACAAGACACACCATTTGTTCCCTAATCTTCTTTAGCATTTTTGTCACATTCTTTCTGTTTTCTTTAAGATGAATGTGTGGATAAATAAATAGTAATTATGGAACATGTTCATACAGCCTGAATTTTCAGAGTTTATGCAGTTTCCAGACAAGTTTCTAAAACACATATCTGATGTAAGCTATTTTTTTTAAAAAAGGTAACTGTGTATTGATGCACAGAAGATTTTAAACATCATGAGTAAACAAATGGGCTCACCTCAGCAGCCTTCCCATTGTAGAGTCTGAAGTGGTTGCAGGCTTTGAGGTTGAGGGCTATTGCGCTGTCCTGAAACTGCTGTAGGTACACAGCTAGCACTTCCTGAAAAAAAGTCAGAAAAGAAACCATCAGACAACCCATCATCCATCATTAGATGTACATGTTCAATGTGACCTTATGCAGTTGCAAGCGCTGTAAAACTCTCACCAAACTCAAACATTAGATGTTGAAGCCTTAGCATTAAAACGACAGAAGCAAGAAAAAAAAAGAAAAAAAAACAAAAAAAGAAAACAGTTCTCTTATCACAATTGGGAAATTCAATCCATCGAGGCATACACATTCATAATTTTGACATGACATAAAAACTTGCAAACACTTTTTCTTACTGCATGATAACAGAGGCAACTGTGCACAAAAGAAAAATGAATTACATTAAGAGTTATCAAGATAAAGTCTCTTTCACAACAACGAGTCAAATTGAGGCACGCGGTGTGAGAAAAGTTTCCAATTTCACAAACCAGAGAAGACACAAACTTGACATGACTGTTTCAGAACTGGAGTAAAACTCACTTGTGAAACGTCGTAGTAGTCGAGTTTGTAGTAACACAACGCAACGTACACATTCAATGCCAAGTAGTCCCTGTGGAAAAAGAACAATAGAAAAGGAGACAATGAAGAAAACAGAAATGAAACTGCACGTGCAGTTTTCCATACTGTGATGTAAATACAGTCAAACCTGTGTAAGGCGGCCACCCATTGTCAAGGAGAAAAGTGGCCGCATAAGACAGGTGGCCGTCTTAGGCAGGACTGATCAAGATGAAGAAAACAAACCCCATTCCCAATCGAAAGTAGCCGCATTATTGTTGTTTTTGTTGCTGTTGTTGTTGTTGTTGTTGGTTTGTATTTTGTTTGTTATTTTTATTTTGTTGCTGATTTTGTGCAAGGGTGACAAAAAAACGAAAGGTGTCGGACAAGGAGGACCGAGAGCTATGGTAAAACAAACATATCGGAAGAACGAGCGACGCTTCTTTCACAAGTCCATGTTGACGTCCATTGTTGCTTTGTTACATACAGACTGGGTAAACAGTGACCACTCATCTCACTTACGATTTGTGTATGAGTTCTGGGCGGGCTTATGGCAATATAAGTAATGGGGGATCAAATGCTTCACTCACCAGCAGCTGGAAATTGGTAGCTATTGGTCAACAGTGGGAGGGGCCTACGCAACATGATCGGTTGGAGGGACTACCTAACAACAACGACAGGTGATTGGATTATGACGGCTCGTCCACAACGCCAGGGGTCAATGCACAATTTATGACAAAACGTAATGGAGCCACTGAGGTGGCCGTCTAAGACAGGTGTTATTGTTCAGGTTGTGTGTTAAAATATGTTGGCCGCGGCCGCGTTGGACAGGTGCCCGTTTTGCACAGTTAAATTATATAGAAAAAACGCAAAGGGGAAATGGAAAGTGGCCGTTGGTTCAGGTGACCATCTTATAGAGGTGGCCGTCAGGGCAGGTTCGACTGTACAGTTGAACCTGTCCATGACACCAGTTACTTGCAACAAAAATTTTAAGAAATAAATACATAAATAAAAAGACAATTATATTAAAATTCAAACACTGATCAGGGACAGAAAAGAAAAACCAATAGAAAAAAAACAAAACTCACCTGTTGTCTAATAAGATTCTCTTAAAACTGAAACACAATCAATAACGAAGAAAAAAAAAACAGGAAAAAATAAAGACCCAAAAAAACCCAAACCAACCCCTCACCTGTTGTCCAACAGGATCCTCTTGTAGATGTCTATGGCCTCCTGGTAGTGGCTGCGGAGGTAGTGGATGGAGGCCAGGGAGAGCTGGTCCTCGATGATGTCCTGAAGGTTCTGGTGAAAGCTCATCAATCGCCGCTCGTCGCCGAACTTGTGGGACAGGTGGAACAAGAGCCGGTTCTGGAGTCTCCCCTTTGGACCTGCTGGAATCACGGGGAAAGGGAAAGCAGCAAACTGTGTACACAACTGGACATTTCATGTATTGGAAAATTACTTGACATTTTTTTTTCTTGTATGGAATAAAGGGGGAAGAGGGAAAGCAGCCAAATGTTTATACAACTTGACAAATTTTGACTTTTTTTTTCTTGTACGAAAAAACGGGGGAAGGGAAAGAAAGCAAACTGTGCGCACAACTGGACACTTCATGCATTATCCAAAATTTGCCTTTTGGGGACATTCCATGAAAACAAAAAGCTGCAGTGACACACGTAACCCCATATGATGACCAGCTAAAAAAAAATTATAACCTGTGATAGAGCCATTATTTTTTTGCTTATTTGTAAGGCAGGAACCCTGCTCTAACTAAAGATGTAAAAATCCCTCCAGTTCTATCACTGTTCAACATTTTTTCAGTGCAATGTATGTCACTGAAATTTCATTTTTCATGGAAAGGCCTATTTTTTCTTGGTCTCCGCACTGGATTAACTGTCCAATTTTTTTTTAAAAAGGAAAACGATTCTCCAAAAAGAAGAGTTCACAGGATCAGTATTTTACAACTGGTCGGAAGAAAAACAGGAAAGAGAGCTCAAGAAAAGATACATTTCCTACAGTAGATCCTACTCTAACAGCCACCTGTCAATCACCTGTTAGAAACGACCACTTCCCACCTAGCCTTTTTTTTTCATGCTATAAAGACACTGTGCAAGACATCCACCTGTCTGATAGACCATTTTTCTCCTCAACAAAGTGGCTGCTAATAATAGCCTTATGAAATACAGCAGCTGACGATACTAACATTTCGCAGCATTTTCATCTGATTCTGGGTACATCCCGAGGAAGAATTGACAGCACGCCAAATACAGCCATACGTCTGGGTTCACACCCTCCCTCTTTGTCAGTCTCTCATACTCCTGAAGGAAAAAAAGCAGGAACATTTTACCGGTCTGTACGTAGACAAGGAATTGCATCCCACCCTCACCAGGTTCAAGGAGGAAAAATTGGAAAGAAATTTTTTTAATCTTAAGAAAACTTCGGTAGTAATCTACTTTACCAATTATCTCAGATCAGGACACAGCAGAATAAAAGAACTGAAATTTGCAAAGCTACATTTTCAATTTTGCAAGAAGCCCTGGTAAAAAAGTAGGCCCATATATAGATCTACCTTGCATAACTTAAATGTGCTGAATGTTGATACTAATACTAAGAGGCATATTATTATTTGGACAAAATGTTTCGACTACTAAGGACTCCTTAATAACTAACATTGCATTTACAAAATTATGTTCCCTGTTACTTTTCTGCTTGCGTTCATTTCAGTAAATTACTGTTCTACCTCGACAAAAGTAATCTTTTACTGCTCTCTAACAAAGGGATGAGTGCCCAAACAAAGCTATGGAACCTGCACATCAAGGCATAGCAACAGTGACAAATTTGCCAACAAATACAACTACAATGCGCAAACAATCAACTTTAAAAAATTGAAAAACAAAATTTTAAAAAAATAAATAAATTACCTCCATTGCACGCTTATAGTCTCCAAGATGAAATGCACAATAAGCTATCCACATGTCTGTCTCCTCATTGCCCTTTCCAGCATTTCTGCTGAACTGCAAAACAACACAGGGACAACATTAACTGCCTCAGCAAATACTCAAAATGTTTGACTAAACTGGCACTAGCTATTCTTGTGTGCCTTTAATTATGGGCACAAATTGAAAAGAACTGACAAAACTAATTTCAATCAATGTAATCATGACATTATGTGACACTCACAATGAAGATTATCTCTGTGAATATTTGAGAAATTCTAAAAACTTTACTTTGAGCAAAAATCGAAAAGTTACATAATAAATGAGATCCAAAATGGTTTTTCTTAAAATTTTGCAAAGCACTCATAAAATGCAGTCGAAATGTTCTAATAAAAGTCTATAAATAAAACTGACCTCAAGGAGAGTAATTGCTCCGGTGTAATCTCTCATGTCCAGAAACTCTTCCACCGTGGGCATCTTTTTCTTTTTCTTCACATCTTTGCCAGTCGGGGCTGCCCCTGGCCCTACAGCGGGCCTTGTCCTTGAGAGCATCTGATGATTAGAGAGAGTAAATAATAATAATACTTATAAAAATTGTAATGATAATAATACTTATAAAAATTGTAATGATAATAATAATAAAATAAATAAGTCATAAAAATAACAATAATATGTGACATTCATATTATTAGCGCTCGATCCCGATCGAAGAATACGCCCTAAGAGCATTTTTCCCAACCGATCAAACAGTTACAGTTTGTCAGGTCTAGAGGGTCAACCAGGGGATCTCCATTGTGAACGCATAGAGCTGCTAAAAGCCTCAATTTTACTTGACATAAATTCTTGACATTCTATGGAAAATGTGTTTGCAGTGTTGCTTTCCCGAGGGCAGATTTATCATGATCTTTACAAAAAGGTTCTACACATATTATTTGATCCTTTCAAATTAAATTTTTTTTAAAACCTATAAACAACTTAAGTACCGGCCCATCTATTCTGTTTTACAGTTACAATGCATCTCTAAAATGTAAGTTCATCTCTTGGGTGAAGAGTTTGGCTACCTTGACCTCACTATGGTGGGAAGAGGGATTATCTTGTCATTTCTACCAGCGTCATTATTCGGACCCCCGGGGTGTGATTAATCAGATTATTTTTCAGACCCCCCCTTATTTCCGGTCCCATATCAGTCCGGCCCTCCCAGCTCAGCGCATGCCCGCTGAGCATCATCCGTGTGATGACCATGTTTGTGCAACAGTCCGCTTGAGTTTGCATTTGTGGCGTGCTTGTAGAAGAACAGCCTGTGTTGTTTCGTAACCGAGGCGTACGTCTCATTCAAAACACGCCAAGTTGGTAGCTCTAGATCTAGACGTTCGTCCAATGAAATTAAAACAAATTGACCCACTTAGACATGAGGTGCTTAGTGATGAGACTCACATCTCGGCACAGAACAAAAGTAAAGTCCAGGTTCTGTGAGTGTACTTTTTTTTTAGTTTGGTTTGTCTGCTGAACACAAATTTGATTCCATTTACAAGGCAAGTCAGAGCCTGCAAACTACATTCAGGGCGCTGTGAACGTAGCCTGCAAACTACATTCGGGGCGCTGTGAACGTAGCCTGCAGACTACATTCGGGGCGCTGTGAACGTAGCCTGCAGACTACGTTAACAGCAACATGAACAGTCACTGCGTATTGAAAAACACTAAAAAACCAACTCACCAAAAAGTTGTATGCCTCTTCACCCCCGGTAAGAATAAACAAATGCAGCCCATATTAATACCTGTTCCGGGGGGTCTGGAAAATGACCAGATTATTGGCAGCCTAGGTTTCCGAATAATCGCAGCCCTTCTTTTATATTCCATTCCTTGCTTTTTACTTTAAAAAATGTTTCGGTGATCATTATGTAGTTCCGTTCGTAAAAGTCCACAATCCATTTGTTTACATCATCCAGAGAAGAAATCTGGTCCAGAAGTCTTGATGGCCAAATACTATTTGAAATAGGCTACACAAAGAGCAGGGATGCAACCTAACTGCAAAACATCAATTTAGGATAGCATTCTGAACCCCCCC